GTATCCACTCATCTGATGATGGACATTTGGGCTCGTTCCAATGCTTGGCTATTGTAAAGAGTGCTGCGATGAACATTGGGGAGAGGAGCAGGAGATTTTGATGAAGTTGGAGTAAAGAAGTTCAGTGGAAGATAGGGCATAATGGAGCTAAAGAGTTTAAAAGGTAGTGGGCAGAACAGCAAGCGTTAGTGAGGGCGTGGAGAAACTGGAATGACTGGTAAGTGTATAAAATGGTGCGGCTGCTGTGGAAAACAGTTTGGCTCTTCCTCAAAAAGTTAAACATAGAATTACCACATGCCCCAGCAATTCCACTCCTAGGTATATACCCAAAGGAATTGAAACAAGTACTCAAACAAATACTTGTATGTGAATATTCATAGAACCACTATTCACTATAGCCAAAAGGTGGAAACAACACAAATGTCCATCAGTGGATGAGTGGATAAACAAATGTAGTATATACATACAATGGAGTATTATTCAGCCATAAGAAGGANTTTGGACATGTTACATTTAAGTTGCCTATGGAACATAACAGCTATCAAAAACTGTAAATATACATTTATTTGTCTATTTTGTTTTTTCTCCATGAGAGCAGGAACCGTGTTTCTTTTGTTCTCTATTGTAAATCAATGCTCAGCATGGTGGCTGCATAAGCACTCCATAAATATTTGTGAAAGAATGAACTGAATAGATATAGCTGAAAATGGCCAATAGGCAGTCTGGAGTTCATGAGAAAAATAGGGGCTGAAAGAAGAAATTTAGTAGCCATAACCATAACTACCATTTATTGAATGCTTACTGTGTGTTGAACTATACACTTAAAATACTTTAGCTCAATCGGTTCTTGAAGCAATTCTGATGGATATTGCTATCTCCATTTTATAGATTAGGAAGCTGATATTTGGAGATCCTGATGCCACACATAGTGAATTATATGGTTTATATTGGCTATGGAAGTAATTTAAAAAGGAGGTGGCTTTTAGGGAGAATGTAGGGAGTCGAGGAGCAGGAGTTTTTTTTTGTTTTGTTTTGTTTTAAATTTTATTTTGTCGATATACAATGTGGTTGATTATTGTGGCCCAGGACCAAAACCTCCCTCCCTCCTCCCTCTCCTACCTCCCACCCAACAATGTCCTTTCTGTTTGCTTGTCATATCAACTTCAAGGAACTGTAGTTGTTATGTCTTCTCCCCCGACCCCCGTTTTGTGTGTGTGTGTGTGTGTGAATTTATTTATTTATTTTTAGCTCCCACCAATAAGTGAGAACATGTGGTATTTCTCTTTCTGTGCCTGATTTGTTTTACTTAATATAATTCTCTCAAGGTCCATCCATGTCATTGCAAATGGCAGTATGTCATTCGTTTTTATAGCTGAGTAGTATTCCATTGTGTAGATATACCACATTTTCCGTATCCACTCATCCGATGATGGACATTTGGGCTGATTCCAGCTCTTGGCTATTGTGAAGAGTGCTGCGATGAACATTGGGGAACAGGTATACCTTCAACTTGATGATTTCCATTCCTTTGGATATATTCCCAGCAGTGGGATAGCTGCGTCGTATGGTAGATCTATCTTCAGCTGTTTAAGGAACCTCCAAACCATTTTCCATAGGGGTTGCAACATTTTGCATTCCCACCAACAATGTATGAGAGTTCCCCTCTCTCCGCAACCCCGCCAACATTTATCTTTCAGCGTCTTTTGGATTTTGGCCATCCTAACTGGGGTGAGATGGTATCTCAGTGTGGTTTTGATTTGCATTTCCCGGATGCTGAGTGATGTTGAGCATTTTTTCATATGACTGTTGGCCATTTGCATATCTTCTTTAGAGAAATGCCTACTTAGCTCTTTTGCCCATTTTTTAATTGGGTTGCTTGTTTTTTTCTTGTAAAGATGTTTGAGTTCTTTATATATTATGGATATTAGTCCTTTGTAAGATGTATATTTTGCAAATATTTTCTCCCACTCTGTTGGCTGTCTTTTAGCTCTGTTAATTGTTTCTTTTGCTGTGCAGAAACTTTTCAGTTTGATATAGTCCCATTTGTTTATTTTTCC